CCTGCGATGCCTTCTAACTGGTGATGGACCCCGGCCTGACTCACGCCGCTGCCACCACTGCAACCCTGGCCTGACTCCTGCCAGCGCCACTGCCGCCGCCGCCGCCACTGCTGCCGCCAGGACCCAGGCCTGACTCCGCTGCCGAGACCCAGATGTTCAGTCGTCTGTCCAGTTGTGACAGCCCTAGGCTATTATTAGTATAGATTATGTAAGCAATTATCAATCCAAAGTATTTTGTTAATGTCACATGGGTTTTGCACTGTATTAGAGGCTGTGGGAGAAATCAAAGAGACAAAAGAAACCGTCCCATCCCCAACGTAGGATGACAGTAGACTCCTCCACCGTGAGTATGGCACATAGCAGGTTTCAGTAAGAGTCACTGCCTTGCCTGGCCGGTGTGGCTCCGTGCTTGAGTGTTGACCCATGAACCAGGAGCTCATGGTTTGATTCCCAGTCAGGGCACATGCCCATGTTGTGGGCTAGATCCCCAGTAGGGGGCGTGCAGGAGGCAGCTGATGCAATCAATGATTCTCATCATTGCTGTTTCTATCCCTCTCTCCCACTCCCTTCCTCCCTCTGAAGTCAATAAAAACATTTCTTTCTTTCTTTCTTTTTTTTAAAGAGTCACTGCCTTTCTGCCCACCTCTCCTCCTCAGAAGCACCATCCTGTGGAATTGGGGAGGTGGTCTGCGATAAACCCTTTGCTTGATGGCCTGAGAAAAGGTCTAAAGCTAGAGCCCCAGTCTCAGCACCTACCTTCCCCATGCCTCCTTTTATGACCTACAAGATGAGAACAGAACCTGCCTTCTGTGCGGTCATCCAGAGATGTTTTTATGATCCAGAATAAGAAGGGCTATAGAACGGCAAAGTTTTATTGATTACTATTACTCAGCAGGGAGTAATTCCCAGGCCTACTCTTTTGGGCCTGAAAAACCTGGCAAGGGCTCTTCTGACTCTACCCAAGACTGAGCTCAACCCTGAGCATAAAGATCAGTCTGCTACAAGCTGGAAGAGTCCTTATCCTTACGCCCTGAACCATCCACTAGCTATCCTTAGAGGCTAAGAAAAAGCTTTAAAATCCTCTATGACCTTCTTCTCAGCATAATTTTCTAAAAATTATAAAATGTTCATCTTGAAACATAGGTAGGCATACCCTGCTGGTTGGGTCCAAAAGAAATAGCATGAGCTGGGATAAATGAGATGTTACTAGAAACCTGGGCTGTTTGTGGACTCCTAGAGAACAACAGTCCTCTAGAAAATAGCTATAATATCTTTAGGAATAATTTCCCTTCAAAGGCCCAGGGAAAACATGCCAATTGGACTTTTACAGAAGAACGGTTTATTTTGTTTGGTACAAGCAAACCAGCATTGCTTCCAAAGGCTGGGTAAGAGCTGTGCGGGTCAGTCCGCGGGGGGACACTGCCACCTAGTGGTGGGCACACACTGCAGCGCGGAGCTCAGCAATGGGAACATCACACATTCTCTCTGTTCACAGTATAGCCAGAACTATTAAAAAAGAAACCACGTTTCCAGAACAGCCCACCCTATGGAGAGGCTAATTCTTCTAAAAATGGCCCATAGTAAGAAAAGAAATACTTAAGCTTGGCATTTACTGTGTGACATGAGCTAAGCACTCTTTCTATCCACTCAATTCTTGGTGCCAGGTGTACTGAAGCATGTATTTTTAATTTTTTTTTAAAGCTTGACTGAAAAAAAGTTGGAAAGATTTTACTTCATATTACACATACTTTTTTTTTTTTTTATAAAAAGGCAGAAACATTTAGGGTAACAACACTTAACAGGAAAAAACCTTGAGCTAAAGGACCTTGAGAATCAGTTCTTAGATGTTTGCTTTCACATAGTCTTTTTCATGGTTGCTTGTGTCATGTTGAAGAGATAAGCTTCGTAGATTATATTTAAGAAGTTGTCGTCATTCTGGAAAACAAAACCAAAAGACCCAAAGGAATGTGATTGGGGCAGGAACAAAAGGCTTCCCCTGTCGTGGAGCCGGCCTGGCCCTTTGAGCCCAGGATGCTCATCTCTCCCTGTCTGTCTGACAGCTGGCGGTTTTAAACTGCACATGTGAATGGTAAGCGGGGCTGAAGCCAGGCCAGATGAGTCCGCTGCTGTTTTTCAATGGCCGGCATGTCACATACAGCACAGATGGGCTGCCCAGCTATGTGTGTATGGGACAGGGCTCACTCATGAGAAGCCTGGGTTTGTCGGTCCCCAGCAGATGGCTGGATAGGAAGGACTTGATCCAAGTCAGTGGTTCTCGATGTTTGGTTAGGAGACTGCTAGCGAATACTTCGTTTTTGGCATTAGTTAAGACTTTACTTGCAATGTGCATCCTTGGTATATCAGAGCCGGTATAATTCTCCGTTATCTATGGAAAGTTTCTGGCCTTGGCAAACGGACAGCAGTTAGACCAGCAGTCTCTGGGCTCTTCTGCCTGGCTACGGGCTGATGGAGAATCACGGTTCTAATCAGTGGTTTTGTTTTTAATGATGGAGACTTCTGCTTCCCACCCAAATCCTTTAAAGCTTTGGCAATTCACCCACATTGCACATTCCCTCCTGGCACCCACACACAGAGTTAGCATTATTCTCACGCAATGAAGGAGAGCTACATATCCCTGTTTTTCTTACAAAGTGACCACAAAGTCCCTTCTGTGTCCTACCAACAGGCAAACACTAAAAACAAACTACTTAGTGACTTCTAACAGTTCACCAGGAAAGTATGTCTAACCGTGGAAAAAGTATGATGTACACAGAGAGTGGGGGAAATAGCGCCCAACTTTGTACAGGGATTGCTCTAGGCTTTCAGTTTGGCCCCTGCACAGAGATCTTTGGAACAATGTGATTAAGTGGAATGAGCCAGAAGAAATATGAAACTTTAACATTTAAGTATTTTCACTTTATTGTTCTCAGATGTTCTATCTAAGTCCGTATGAACTTATCATAAATGGCTTTAGAAGGTGGAAACTGTTGGCATCCTGATATTCGTGACCTAGTAAAGCATGATCATTTGTTGCCCCTCTTTAACAGATAGTCTTCCACTTTCCAGCCCAATTCCTTCCATTCTCTCTAAAATATGTCACCTTAAAAAAATGTTTTTACTAATAGAGATCATTTTCTTCTTAAGATGAGACAGCTGCAGAAGTGCTAGCCTGCTCTCTAAAAGCCATCTAAAAGCCTGCTCTCTAAGCCAAATATCACAAAAGTTTTCTTAAGACTGTCTATCAAAAAAGTACCTAAATATGTTAGCTGGGTGTGTGAAGTCTGGGAAAAGCATTCTGCTTTTCAAGGCCTGCCACTTATTTGTGGATGTGCTTTGCTGGGCAGACAGCCCAGAGGCTGAGTTACGACTGTGGCCCCCACTGCGGGCAGCAGGAAGGAGCGCTCTGGAGCCAGACTGGGGTTGGAGCCCAGCTCTGCTATTTACTAGCTGTGTGACCTCAGTTTCCTTGTCTCTAAAATGGAAAAATGATAGTGTTGCTGTATAAGGACTCAATGACTTAATGAAAGTAACGCATTGTAACAGTGCCTGACACAGCTCTGTGTGTTAGCTGTTATTATCTCATAGAGACAAAACTCATGGCTGCCAAAGAAGTCCCGTCACTCTATCCTGTCCTAATTAGCAGGCTTCAAATTATTTGTCAAACAGCCCTAGTATCACAGCCACTACTTGCTCCCCTACCTGCCGGCTCCTTGCTCTACAGTCTACTTGAGCTCTCCACTAAACACCAGCGATTGCGCAGACAGCATCACCTCTACTTCCAGAGGTGAGCTCTCAGTTTGGGTGCCCACAGCATCTACGGTCCTTAATTATAGTTTCTGTTTCCTTCTTTTCTGACAGGTGACAGACTGGAGGACTTAGTCCTCTTCCAAATTACAAAATCCTTAGGGCATCAAATCACCTAAAGCTGCAGTTAGTATTCTGAATCTCACCCAGCCACGCACAGAGCCACTGTGGTTCAGGGTGAGTTGTTACGTCGCTCTCTCATTCCTGGGCGGTTCTATGTGGGCGCTTGCTAACTGAGGCCTTATCTTAGAGTGGCAACCAGCTGGCGAGCAGGATTGGCAAAGGTAAGAAGAGAGACGATGGCCCTCCTACCTGAATGAGGAACAGCAGTGCTTCCTGAAGCTGCAGCTTGGTAAGTGGGCTGAGTACAGAGTGCGCTGGGCTCTGCAGAGGCAGGAAGAGGCTGGTGGAGGCGGCAGCTGGTTCCTGGCTTCCCAGGGACAAGAGCCCACGGTCCCTCTCCTTTGATGGGCTACATGTGGGTTGTGTGAACACCATGGGGGACATGAGCAGAGAAGGAGCACCGGTAGCACGGATGCACTGAGGTGAGATGACCTGCTCAGAGCAAATACATACAAAGAGGGCAGGTGTAAGTAGCAACTCATTGATACAACGGGCACAGAGACAAAGAGACCACTCGCTTGCAAGAGTGGATATCGGTGAACTTAAATCCGAATTGTTCAACACTTCACTAACTGGAAAAGCTCAAGGTGAACTGATTCCTGCTCAGTTCCCCACATATTTCCCTTGTCCTTCCTAAGCAGCTCCGGCACAGTCCGCTCTGGGGGCTGTTGTTCCCTCTGCATAGAGTGCTTGGCCTCTGAGCAACACTTTATTTTTCTGCTTTCCTGTCATCCCTTGGCAACGTGCATTTGGGACCGCTAGCCTTTTCCTCGGGGCTAGTTGTCTACCACTCTGACCTGTTACAGCTCCACAACATACATGAGCTCCTGGGGGGACACACGTTTCCACTCGATGTCTCTATGGAGGAGCCGCTGTGCGAGTGGTCCTCCTCACTACTTCTCACCAGGAAGGAGGCATGATTCCGGGTCCAGCTCTCCTGGGTCCTTTCTGATGGGATCTGCCTGCCTGCAGAGAGCACACACTTCCTGCTTTTCCATGCTCGAGTGGCCGGGGCAGGTCCTGGGGCTGGTCATGCCAGCACTGCCAGGGACTTGTCTGTCTGGGCGAGTCTGTCTCCCTCACTTGGCTAACAAACACCATACCAACAGCTTTTGCAGTTATGCAAGTGACACTTTGATCCCTGTTTCACTGATGCCTACAGCTCTCTCTCTCTCTCTCATCTGTTTCTAACTCAGGTGAGAAAATGTTATTATCATCCTAAAGCTCCGTAAGAACTCGAGGAGGAGTGTCCAGTGATCATGAAGCTGCTGTGATTTTATAATCGTTCCCTTGCTTTCTTTTGGGGCAGAAACCAGCCTTGAGGAAAGCAGGCTGTGACCTATCCCACTGCTACTCTGAGGAGAGGGCCTGAGGCGGACGCTCCCGAAGGAGGACGGCCAGCACCGTGAGGCTGACAGTGTGCGCCTGCTCCTCGGCTCCACACCTGTGAGCACTGGAAAGCCAAGAGAATTGTGCGTGCAGACGTTTATGTCCAAGTATCAACCCCAATTTTCCTAGCGTCAGATCTAAACCATCAAAGAGCAGAGGGGACAAGATTACACTGAAACGAGGATGAGTGACAAATACTGTTTCCATAGAAATAGGTACTCAGATTTGAGATTTTATAAAAAATAAACACAAGCTCTGTGACTCAGTGCCTCACAGACACAAAGACTTACGCTCCATGCTTATGATCTTGGTTTTCAAAGAGTGGAAGATTTTGTTGGTTACTTGCCAAAACATGACAAACAACCAATGATGAGATATGTAATAGGGAGAACGTCCTAATTTTTAAACCTATTGCATTTTCAATGAATTTGTACCAATCCAAATGAGAAAACAGTCCAATCTCCAGATGTTAGCCATGGGCAATGGAACAGCTTGTGGTTTTCTCTGTTCTAAGTTACTGATGAACATAGAGATCATCTTCCTTAAAGGATAAACAATTTCTAAAAATTACAATATTTTCCTCTCTGGAAATGGGTGTGTGTGTGTGTGTGTGTGGCAGGGGGGCGGGGGCACATGGCATACTTATCCCCCTTGCCATCTTCATTAAGCTATGCAGAGGATGCAAACTAAAACAGGCGGCCTTGGCAGAGTAATGGCACTTTTCTTCCATTGTCTCCCCCCGGCAGGCTTGTGGGCTCTGCAGAGGCAGCATCTGCTCCTGACCACTCTGCACCCATGGTGTAGCACAGTGCCTGGGAGGGAGCAGTGCTCAGAAATATTTACTAAATAAATGGATAAGCAACGATTACTTAGACTAAAATAACAAGAGGAGGTCAGACATTTCCTATCCCAGAATGAAGATTAGGATCCCCTACCATGTCTATGTTCTTTCCCACATCCATGTCTTCAGGCCTGATGAAATGCAAAGATTTAACTCTACAAATAAAGTATCTGAAAGGAGGGAAGCTCCCAGATTGCTAAGCGAAGCAGAGATTCTCTTTCCAGGCAGGAAGTTAAGGTGATACAAGATGCACCGAAGTGGCTTTGCAACACTGTTCAGGACAGCTATGTCCCTAGAGCACAGACACTGACTGCATTTCACTGCATCACAGTGATAACCCCCACCCGGTGGATCTTTACCTGGAAAAGGGGAGTCTGCTTTTCCGAGCTGGATGTCTTGTCAACCCAGGGTCCCCAGGGCTTCCCGGCTCCAGAGCTCTGAGTTAGCACAGGAAACTTCGCCGCCAAGGCCGGCCGGTTGGACATGTGCAGCTGCTGCTCCTGCTGCACAAGCTGAAGCTTTTGCAGTAACTCTTGAGGGGAGATCACTCCAGAACCACTAGTCTGATTGCCAGAAAGGGCGAGCATTTGTCTTGGGCACGCGGACTGATCTTTTTCATGAGCCTGATGTCCTAGTGCCTGAGGTGGAAGGGAGCCATTGAAATGTACCAGTGGCGGCTGAGCCACCGGCTTTCCTGGAGCTGCAGGGGTGGCAGCAGGGAGGGCTGTGAAACTCAGGGCTGCGGGACCGGCAGGTGATGGTGCACTAGGGTCATACTTGTTCACTGCCCCTGGGGTGCTCTGGAGCTTCTCCAGCAGGTTCTGAGTTCTGGGAGCACCATGGCCTTGATGGGATGCCCCAAAGCTCTGGGGAGACCCCAGGAGGACGGGTCCAGTAAAATCCTCCCCTGCAGGAGCCTCACTGCTGTTTTTGTAGGGCTGGTTTTCAGGCAGCTCTGACAGTGGGTGGAGGTCTGCACTCCGGACCAGGAGTTTCTGAATGGCTGGACATAGCTGCTTCTCGATGGGAGGTGAGTGTCCTTTGGGTTCCTCATAGGACAGGGAACGGATAACCCCCTGCCGGATTGGAGGTTTCTCTTGCTGCTGCTGGCGGAGGGTCTGTGCAGGCCCCACAGTTTCCTGACATGTAGCTCTGTCCTGCTTCCCAAAGAGTGCTGTCAAGGACAAGTGTTGGGGTTCAGGGTCTAAGGTCTGAAAAAATAAAAATGTCTCAAAATGGATCTACATACACTTTGGTTATATGGAGGCTATGAAACATAATTCACCTAATCAATAGTTTCTTCTATTTATAAAGGATTAGACAGGATAAAACACTTAATTACAATAAACTTCACAAAATTGAGACCTTAATGCCAAGTATTTTCACAGCATTCTGCCCTACTACTCTCAAGATAGCTGTTACTTTTTAGTATCGGTTGAATTATGAATAAGGATGTGAGCTTTGATAGATTGGGAACCACTACGGTACAAAATTATATACACCAGAAGGTAAATAATCTCTTCAGC